GGGGATGAGTGGGATTGGGTCGAGTTGGGTCAGTTGAGTTGAGTGGCGATGTGTTGGTTGGGTGGGGATGAATTGGGTTGGGTTGAGCGGCCATGAGCTGGTTGGATCGAGTTGGTTGGGTTGGGTTGAGTGGGGTTGGTTGAGTGGAGTGAGGATGAGTTGGGTGGGTTGAACTGGGTTGAGATGGGTTGGTTGGGGGTGGGTTGGGATGAGTGGGGATGAACTGGGTTGGGTTGAGTTGGGTTGGGGATGGGTTGGGTTGAATGGGGATAAACTGGGTTGGGTTGGGGATGGGCTGAGTTGGGTTGGGTTAAATTGGGTTGGGGATGGGTTGAGTTGGGTTGGGTTGAATGGGGATGAATTGGGTTGAGTTGGGTTGCGTTGAGTTGGGTTGTGTTGGGTTGGGTTGAGTTGGGTTGGGTTGAATTGAGTTGGGTTGGGTTGAGTTGGTTTGGGTTGGGTTGAGTTGGGTTGGGTTGAGTTGAGTTGGGTTGGGTTGAATTGAGTTGGGTTGGGTTGGGTTGGGTTGAGTTGGGTTGGGTTAAAGTAAGGGCCGTGCGTTTCAACCTGCTTTGAAACAAAGAGCAGCAGCCACGATTCCTGAGGCACGACAGAATCCAGCCTTTCAGTCGCTGCCGACTGAATCCTTGGGCAAACCTGAGTCCATCAGGCTGCGCCGGCCCTGACGCCGCGCTCTGTGTCCGCAGGCGGCGCCGCCCCACCTCCCTCCGACAGCAAACCCTTCTCCAGTGCTGCTGTGCCCATGGCTGCCGGGAAGGGGCCCACGGCCACGGGGAAGCCGGGAGCATCTCTGGCGCTGCCGCAGCCGGCGCAGGTGAGACGAGAGGCCCCAGCTTTCCAGCCGACTCAGCGCGGTCACACAGCGCTGCGGTTTGTCGCACGGGGAGCAATGAACTCCCTGCAGCAGCTTTCCGCCCCCCACGTTTTCCACCACTAAAGCCGTTCCCTCTGGATCCAGTTGGCTGGGTTGGGTTGAGTGGGGTTGGTTGAGTTGAGCGAGGATGAGTTGGGTGGGTTGAACCGGGTTGAGATGGGTTGGAACTTCTGGGGAGGGGAGCTTTGCTCCTTCCTCTGCGAGAGAACTGACAGCTTAACGAAAGCTGCTCGAGTCCCTGTGGGATTCCAAAGCTGACGCTCTCCCTGTGCCTCCCGCAGACCAAACCGGGGGTGATCAGCTCCGTCTCAGGCCTGAACCTGGGGAAGGGGCCGCTGCAGATCCAGGTGGTGGGGAAGGGACTGTCGCAGCTCGTGCCCGCGGTGCAGAGCCAGCAGCTGGTGAGCTCACGTGGAAACGAGTTCCATCCCAAGCCGCTCCGCATGAGCGGAAGCGTTTCTCCTCGCTTACGATCCCTGGCGATCGCTGCTTTCTCCTTTTGCTCGTCTCCCCTGTTCCGAAGCATTTAAACCCGTTCCCTGTCTGCACTGCCAGCCTTCGCAGTTCTGCTCTTAAAGCCCCAACGAGGCAGAGCTCCCCTTGGCGCAGACGCGTTCACCCGCGCGGCTGCTCTCACCTCTGCTCTCACCTCTCTTCTCTCTTTCCCCCAAGTATGACAGCAAGCTGGGGAGCCTGAAGAAAACTCCCACACTACAGCCCAGCAAAGAGGCCTGGTGAGTGCGGCACCGTGGGGCTGTGGGGTCCCAAAGCACCGCGGCACGGCGGGACGCCGCCTGCAATGGGGCACCGGGGGGTGCGGGCGCAGCTGTGCCAGCGAGGCGCTCGGCTGAGGGTCTGCATTGCTGCCTCCCCTCCCGGCAGCGTCAGAGCGCTCCTCCCCACGGCTTCCCTCCTCAGCCCTGCGCCTCTCTCCCATCCCGAGCGCAGACCCTCGTCCCGTTGCGGTGGGGGAAAGCGGGGACTCCGCCGTGCGGCGCCAGCCCAGCTCCGCGGCAGCTCCGCGCTCTTCCTCTCTTGCAGCTTCTTGGAGCAGCTGCACAAACATCAGGGGGCAGTGCTGCATCCCGACTACAAGACCTCCTTCCACTCCTTCGAGGACGCCTTACAGAGGCTGCTGCCCTACCACGTCTACCAGGGGGTGCTGCCCTCCGCCCAGGACTACAGGAAGGGTGAGGGCCGGAGGCTGCGCAGCGCTGCCAGCAGAGCGGGCACAGCTTTATTTAAAAAAAGGGGGAAAAAAAAAGACAGCGTGGGCTTTTTTAATGCTAAAAAAGGAGAAACTCGCTGTGCCTTCGCTCCAGAAAAACACAAATTCCCAGGGCGGCGCTCAGGGTTTGCCAGGGATTCCGACCTGCAGTCCTGCAGCGATCCGTTAAAGGCATTTCGGCTTTGGGAAGCCATGGCCACGCAGCCCTGAGCGGCCGGTGTGGGCGCTTAACGACCCCCGGGGGCTCAGGGCAATTAGCAATGACCGGGAATCCTTTTCTCACCGTGGGTTTCCTGCAGTCCCCGCCGCACAGAGCTCCCCCCCGCCCCACGCGTGCACAGCTCTGTGCCCCAGAACCCCCCCAGACCCTCCCCCTCTCCTTCTGCTCTCCTCGCAGTGGATGAGGAGTTCGAAGCCGTGTCCACGCAGCTGCTGAAGCGCACGCAAGCGATGCTGAACAAATACCGCCTGCTGCTCCTCGAGGAGTCCCGGGTAAGGCAGGGCCGGCGCTCGGCCTCCCGCAGCACGTGGGCGCCCTCCTCGTGGGGCCACGGGGAGCTGGGGCTCCCGCTGACAAAGGCAGGAAGAGCTTTCCTGGCCCTGCAGCTCGGGCTTGGCACGAAGCGATGCTTATCGCGCCGTGAGCCCGGTGGGAGGCGGCCGTGTGCTGCCAGCTCCCTGTGAGCGGGACGGGGAAAGTCGGGGAGGGGGCGCCGAGCTCGCGGCCTGCCTGAAGGCGGCGCTTTGCTGCCCCGTCCTGTCCGCTCACCGGCCCTTCCTCCCCCCGCCCTCCCCTCCTCCTCCTCCTCGTCTTCCCGTCCTGCAGAGAGTCAGCCCTTCTGCCGAGATGGTGATGATCGACCGCATGTTCATCCAGGAGGAGAAGACCATGCTGGCGCTCGACAAGCAGCTGGCCAAGGAGAAGCCAGGTGGGCAGCGCTCTCCTCTGCCTCTGCGCCTTCGTGGTACAAAGCACACGTCATGCATGTGCTGTACAACTGCGTGCCTTCAGGCCGTCCTCTCCAGAGGCCCCACGGGGCTCAGGGCCGGGCAGCTCCCAGCTCAGTCCGTCCGTCCGTCCCTTCCCCTTCACGGGGCTGTAGCTGTCAGTCTGTCCCTCCCCGTGGCTGCGGCCTGAAGCTTTAAACAAAGCGCAGCGTTTTCGTTCAGGGCCCTGACAAATCCCTTGTTGTTCCTGGCTGCCCTGGAGATTCTTTATTTAGGTTTGCATTCAGTGGCCGCGTATCCCCAGGGCGAGCTCGTTAAGGGATAAACTTCATCACAAGTGGAAGGAAGGGCCGTTCCCAGAGGGAGGAGGGACTGAGAAACAGCAGCTGGCCGGGAGGCAGAAAGTAACGCCAGCACGGGCGGGCAGACAGGCAAAGCCTGGAGTCGTTAGGAGCTGCGAGTCCCCAGCGCTGGTTGAGCTGCAGGCGAGGGCTCCCAGCGCAGCTCTGCCGCCGGTTCTTTCCGTGGGGCTCCCTGAGCAACCCGCTGTGCTTCGGGGCGCCCTCGAGGGCTCCCAGGACCCCCGATGTCCCATAGGGCGCTCCACAATGCTCCCCGAGTTTGTAGCTGTGCCCCGGAACGCCTGGGGGCTTCCCAATGTCAGACCCAAGGAGCTCCCAGTGAACTCTAGGACAGCCCAGATCGCTCCCTGAGCTCCTCAATGAGCTCCAGGCTGCCCTGGAGGCTTCCCAGTGCACCCCAGAGGCCTCCCGAGAGCCACGAGCGTCCCTTAAGGCACTCTGGAGTGATCCCTGAGCTGCTGGTTGTCCCCTGGGGGCTTCCCAGGACTCCCGAGGGACACGGCAGTGTGTTCCCAGAGCTTGGGGATGTGCTGTAGGGTCTCCCAGAGGCTTCCCAGGGCCCAGCCCTCCGGGACAGCGAGGGCTCCCGCCGTCCTGC